CCCCCCGTGTACGGTCACATGATACCTCATCCAAGTTTTCTGTCTCACCAGGTTGGTTTTAAGAACATGCAGAATGTGGAGCACGTCCCACTGTCTTTAGACAGAGCCATGCGGCTGGTGAAAGACGTCTTCATTTCTGCTGCCGAGAGAGACGTGTACACCGGGGATGCCCTCAGGATCTGCATTGTGACCAAGGAGGGCATCCGGGAGGAGACCATCCCCCTGAGGAAGGATTGATGTCTGTGCTGCCCACTGATTTGTTTTATTAAAAAATAACCCCTGAAGCGCTCACTTGTCTTCTCTCAGCAGGACAGGGCTGGGACATTGAAGTTCTTTTTCCCGTCTTCGCGTACCTTCCTGTCTCCAGAGCTGTTTTTGTATGTTAAGGAGGAAAAAAAACAGGTCATGTCAGTTTTTCGTTATATTTACGAGCAAGAAGTTTATCTGGAAAAGTTGACTTTTTGATCAATGCAGATGGTCAGCCCATCTTATGAAGAGGGCACTACTCTGTCTTAGTTTTATTAAGACATCAATGGGTATAAATAAATACCTTTAAGATTCTTGTTCCTGGGATTGTTGACACGCAGCCTGGAGGAGCTGTTTTGGAGACACATTTTCAAACCACCAACATAGAGGAAAATTGTAAAAGCAAGTAGCCCTTTAAGTGGGCTTTAGCCAGAAATCTCGGACAATTTTTCCGCACAGTTTGGGAATGTTAAAATCAGACCTGGATTTTGATGGCTCTAAGGTAGTTGTTGTTTTGGAACTATTATATACATTTTAGCTTCATTACATGTAACGGACTAGTTTTCTTGGTATTGAGCAAGTCAAATTATACAACAGAAAATTTACTACTGACCTCACTAAGAATTAAAATTATTAAAGCCCCTGGTAGATACGTATTTTTAAATCTGGTCTACAAATATCTGTTAGATTCTCTGTCACAGAAACTATGGACAAAATGGTGAGGTGTTGCTCGTGTTTCTCTCACAGTCAGGAGAGAGCTGCAGACTGCCCCATCATCATATTCATCTTTATTGCACTCTGGTTTCTCTAGAGACAGCACCAATAGGACAGACTTATGGTGAGGAACTGACTCATGATTATGGTCTGCCATCTGCGAGCCTGAGATAAGTGCCAGGGGAGTAGATTCCAGCCAGAGTGTGAAGGGGCCACCAGGACAGGTGCAGGTGTCGGCCCTGCTCCCCAGGACCAGAGACAGTGTCCCTGCTCAGTGCTCCCTCCACTTGTGTTCCTCCCGGCCCTCAGCGTGTTGGGTGAGACCCCCCACATGGGAGGGCAACCTGCTTTACTCCGCTAACAACTTAAATGCTCATCTCCTCTAGAAACCCTCACAGACACTCAGAAATAATATTTAGCCAAATATCTGGGCACCCTGTGATCCAGTCAAGTTGATGAAAATTAACTGTTGCAATTCTATAAATGGAATATTTTATTTTTTTGTTTCAAAGAATTTTTTGTTGAGTTTGGGATTCGGTTTTTCACTATTTGAAGTTATATAAATTTGTGTGACTGGAATTTTCTATGAGGTCCTCACCTCTGAAGGTTTCTAGGGAAGTTCTCCAAATTAACGACGTCTTTTTCACAGCTTCAGGTACAAATTATTTATCCTAGTTTTCCTCCGTACTTAATGGTCTCATTTGAAGGCCTGTGTTTGGAGTAGGCTAGAATCACCTCCTCCAGAATGTACTGCTGCCTGGATCCTCCTGGTGCCAACTCTGACTCCAGTTACTGGGGCAGCTTTTCTAGATCGTTCAACCGTAATTCCTCACCTGAAAGGGCAGCCTTTAGCACTTGGATAGATTCGAGGGACAGCTTGCTTTGACAGCCAGCCTTCAGTTCCAGTTAGAAAGCTGCAGTTACGCTGAGACTCCTTCATAGGTCAGTCGTGTTCCTGCCAGGACACAGCTCACTGGAGGTGCTGGCCGTGTCTAGATTCATGCACTGAACTGGAATGCTGTGTAGATGTTGGTTTGTTCTTAGCAGAGATATTTTTCTGAGTCTTCTGGATGGGCTGCGCAGGGGCGTGCACTGGCCCTGCTGAGCCTGTGACCTGCAGTTGCCCCTCGGCCTCCGTATTTCCCGCTCTGATTCACAGGCAGAGAAGTCAGCCTGTGAGACTGACTGCAAACCTGCCTGAGAGGAATACAGACCATTAGTAGGAAGATGGTCTTTGTTACCAAAGAGTCCTAACTACTGCTCTAATAGGCGTTCTGCCTCTCTACCCCTCTCGTCCTAGGGGAGCAATCCCAAACATGCTTCTGACTTGGGTCCCGTCCCCTGACGGATGGTGGATCCCCTGTATTATGCAGAGCACTTGTCCTAAACTAATTCCTGGGCCACCCCAGACATACCACCCTAGTCTCAGGGCTAAGATATGAAAATCTGCACTATAAACCACCAAATGCCCTGATGGTGCACACATAGATGGAAACTCTCCTAGGTTCTCGGCAGACAGGTTGCATCAGAAACAGCCCCTGGGGGACGTGAGGGATGAATTATAGGGCTTAACTTAGCGCAGGGAAGAGGAGCTGGTTAGATGGCCTGTGGTGCAGTGGCTGATGTTCACGCAGCACCAGCCGTTTGGCCAGGCACAAGCTTGTGATCTAGGGCCACGCGGACATCACCAGCCTCAGAACCTCTGCACCTCCCACTTCAGTGCAGTGCACTCAAGGAGCCCTGCCTCGTGGAGAAGCTAGAGGGTCTGTACAGCCAGCGACACAGCTCTGCCACTCTCCTGCCAGCTGCAGGCCACTCAGAAACGTGGGAAGGAGCTCCACTGAGGAGGTGGGAGCGGTGGCCATGGGCAACTGAGACTCAGGGAGCTGGAAGACCAGGAGCTCTGGGGGTGGGGGAACCTCATCCTTGGGTTCTGCTGGCTGGACATTCCCCACCAGGACAGGTCTGGAGGGTTTGTCTGTCAACACCCTGGCAAGTTTTCTCTGGGCCAGGGAGCTCACAGTGGTCCGTGTGTGTGCATTTTGGATGTGGTGGCTGTATGCANGAGCCTGTGACCTGCAGTTGCCCCTCGGCCTCCGTATTTCCCGCTCTGATTCACAGGCAGAGAAGTCAGCCTGTGAGACTGACTGCAAACCTGCCTGAGAGGAATACAGACCATTAGTAGGAAGATGGTCTTTGTTACCAAAGAGTCCTAACTACTGCTCTAATAGGCGTTCTGCCTCTCTACCCCTCTCGTCCTAGGGGAGCAATCCCAAACATGCTTCTGACTTGGGTCCCGTCCCCTGACGGATGGTGGATCCCCTGTATTATGCAGAGCACTTGTCCTAAACTAATTCCTGGGCCACCCCAGACATACCACCCTAGTCTCAGGGCTAAGATATGAAAATCTGCACTATAAACCACCAAATGCCCTGATGGTGCACACATAGATGGAAACTCTCCTAGGTTCTCGGCAGACAGGTTGCATCAGAAACAGCCCCTGGGGGACGTGAGGGATGAATTATAGGGCTTAACTTAGCGCAGGGAAGAGGAGCTGGTTAGATGGCCTGTGGTGCAGTGGCTGATGTTCACGCAGCACCAGCCGTTTGGCCAGGCACAAGCTTGTGATCTAGGGCCACGCGGACATCACCAGCCTCAGAACCTCTGCACCTCCCACTTCAGTGCAGTGCACTCAAGGAGCCCTGCCTCGTGGAGAAGCTAGAGGGTCTGTACAGCCAGCGACACAGCTCTGCCACTCTCCTGCCAGCTGCAGGCCACTCAGAAACGTGGGAAGGAGCTCCACTGAGGAGGTGGGAGCGGTGGCCATGGGCAACTGAGACTCAGGGAGCTGGAAGACCAGGAGCTCTGGGGGTGGGGGAACCTCATCCTTGGGTTCTGCTGGCTGGACATTCCCCACCAGGACAGGTCTGGAGGGTTTGTCTGTCAACACCCTGGCAAGTTTTCTCTGGGCCAGGGAGCTCACAGTGGTCCGTGTGTGTGCATTTTGGATGTGGTGGCTGTATGCATCCAGCAAAGGGAGAGGCCCCAGCCGCCCCACCACAATCACCATCTCCATCATTTCCAGGCACTTCTCAGGCATCTGCCCATGACGTTTGTCCTGGTTCTAGTGGCTCCTTGGATCTTGTCATCTTTGAAAATATTTTTCTATAATGGGAAAAATCTCCACTTAGAAAACAACATGGGGTGTGCCCCACAGAGCTGAGCTGGAATGTACAGGTGACCTAGCATGTGATCTCACCACTCTACCTTCTCTGCACCCAGATGCTGCAGGGGAGCACCCTGGGGAATCCTGCGCTGTTGGAGGAGTTGGCTGGGTCCCCAGAAACCCCTTCAGTGCCGGTAGGTCTGCGTGCCCCTCTCCCAGAGCCACCAGGTGGCAGTGTCAGCCTGCGCAGCCTGGCCTCGGGGGAGTGTAGGGAAGCCTGTCCCGGCCAAGGTCCTGGGTGCAGGTGCATCAGCTTTGCTGAGCTCCTGTGAGAGCCTTGAGCCTAACCTGGGAGGAGGGGCACCTTGGCTGACGCTCCAGGTCTCAGCTCATGCTGACATCCAGGTGGAAGGGACAGGAGATAAACCCAGCAACATCGTTAGCAATCTGTACTGCAGGAGGAAAGCCGAAAAGGGGGCAGGTAATAATTCATGTGGAGGTCCCAAGTGTGTGGGGGGAAAGGCTGGGAGATGCAGAGAGAAAGGAAGCAGGAGGGACTGTTTGTGGTTTCAGGAGACAAAAATCAAAACAATTTAATTGGAAACAGGAAAACTTAAGGGTTTGCCCCAGGGATCTGAGGGGTGGGGATTCTGCTGCCTCTCTCCCGTTGTTCTTTGTTTTCTGCTGTGAGCAAGTCCTTTAATTTCTTGCACTTTGGTAAATCCCTGGCCCATGAACCTTGATGTTCTGATGCTCTAAGGACCCTGGCTGAGGGTCTCAGGCGGGTGCTGGTGGGAGGAGGGCCCACGAGGTTGGGAAGCACCTTCTCCGACTTGCATTTGGCTTAAGCCCTCCGTTAGGATTTGGCCCATGTGGCTTCCATTTGCCACTGACAAAGGCTACATGTATTTTCCTCGTATCTCGCAGGTAATTTTGTCTTTTTTTCTCTTGCGCAGAAGAAAAATCAAGCAAGTCCAAGGCAGACCTGCCTTAGTGGAAGGTAAAGGAAACTGTGTTATGATGACGTTTTCCAACCCGAAGGCTGAAACGCACTCGAACGCTGGGTCTGACCAAATATTTGAACTTGAGGCTGTCTGAAACATTAACCCTTGTCATAAACTTGTTAAGATCCCTATTTAATTTCTCTTTAAATATTTATTTTTAATTATTTCAAAAGTGGTGGTTAGATTGTTTTCTTCTGTGCCCTCAACTCTCACCCTCATTCACTTTCAGAATTGACTGTTGAGAACCACGCGCGTGGCCTGAAAGGTGAGGACGCTGCTGGCCCGCTGGCCATCCCCTCACTGGTAAGGGACAGTGCCTGTTGTCTGTGTGAGCACCGTTGTCATAGCCCACAGGCACTTTGGGGTGGAGGGTGGGGCAGCGTTGGGGGAGGAGCTGGTTGGCTGACTATGTTCAAAGACCGTTGGACAGTTAGGTGATGGTTGGGCCGGAATAACACTCGGATTTATCCATCAGGCTGTGAAACTGAAACCCAGGCTTTTTAGACAGCCACCTACAGCGTCTGGGGTTTGTCTGAAGAAAACGACAGGAAATTCTGGCTTCCCTCAGGCATCATGCACATGAAAGGAGCTTTAGCCTTGTTAGTAAAACTGCAAAATTCTGATAAAGCAAATGGTGTTGAAGGGTCTCGAGTTTCCCTCAAAGAGACTGGGCTAATAAATCTTAGGGGTTACGTGTCTCCCACAGAAATATTAACGAAAGCCACAGGGAAAGTGACCAACGCCCTTTACTCCATCAGAAGCAAGAACCAAACACTGTTTCTTACAGTTTCACAAACTGCGAGGAACAGTTACCTGTCAAACTTGGGAAGTTTGGTGTAGGTTGGGGGTCCTTCTTACTTTCTCTTGTCCCTCTAATAAATTTACATTGTCCTGTGTACCACATAATTCAGTGAGAAAGATAAGTTTAAAATTTTATAGTGGAGAAACCTTGGCTATGAGATCTTCAGTTGCTCAAAATTCACAGCCAGTTTGGAGCTGCGCCCTCCTGAAACTTCAGCACCTCTCATTCCGACTCTTCTGTGTGATGTGGGCACTGGAGCTGGTGTGTCTCTTCTAAGCCAGGCGACTTCCTAGACATCAAGGTCTTGTCTTTTATTATCTGAAGTGCCAGCATGCTTTGGCTTATTAAGAGGTACAACTGTTTCTCCTTGAATTCCTCCAGTTCATTCATTCATTCATGTATTTTATTAGGAAACATTTCAAATGCATGCAAAAGAAGTTGAGAGACCAGTCTAATGAAACCCTATGTACCCCTCACCCATGTCGATAACTACTTGTTCCATCCCCTCCCACCCCCCAGATTATTTTGAAGCAAGTCCCAGAAATCCTATAACTTCATCTGTAAATATTTCAGTCCTTTAAAAGATGACCATATTTTAAAATACAATCACAGCATCATTACACTTTTACAGATTAACTGAAATTCCTCAAATATCCAGTCTATGTCCAACTTTTCTCCATTGTCTCATAAATGTCTATTTACAGTGCGTTCACATCTGGGTTAAATCAGTCTTCCCCCAACCCGTGAAATGTAATTGTCAAGGAAGCCAGGTTTGTCCTGCAGGTCCCCACTTTTTAGATAGTACTGACTCCATTCCTGTAGTTTCTGTAAATGTCTTTTCCTAAAAATTGGTCATTAGATTTAGAGACTTGATCAGAGTCCATTCAGTCTTCATCAACAGAGCGATCTAGTTGATGTCTTACCATCGCAAATTATACCTGTTTCTATTAAACAGTAATCTACTGGGATAGAAATCTTTTTGTGATATGCCATTATAAAATAAACTTTAGTTTCTCAAAAAGCCACAGGCCTTTCCATCGTAAGTCCCAGACTCAGACTGGGTGGGCTTTCCACCTGCCTGGAGGTGGGGGGTCCCTCCCTGGGGGCCAGGAAGCCCCTCCTTCCATGTCTCAGCTTCTCCTTCAGGGTGATGTATTTTCTTCCTACTCTTGTCTTTTATTATCTAAAGATAACACCTGGGAGGCTCAGGTGTTAATAATATAAATATCACTTGCTTTCTCAAATAGCAAACTCTGCAGACTACCTCAGGCACAAGCAGGGTGTTTTGCTTGCTTGTGTCCTTCCAGGCTGGCCCCTGTATCCAGCACGTTTCTTAAGCTCGGTTTGGTTAACACCTGATTTGTGTATTAGCTCCGGGAGACGCACGTAATGTATTGTCATTTATCCTTCCCAGTAACAGTAGCAACGCATCGCGGGTCTCCTGCCACCTCTGCTGCTATCTTTTCTATTTCTGTGCTGGGACTATTTCTGGGAGAGTGCCTCGGGGACAGCTGAGGGCCACATTTAACCCACCAGCTGAAGTGTCTTACACATGCCCTTCGTGTCCAGCTTTGCGGAGAGCTCTGCCTGGGCACAAATGGCCGCAGGGTGAGTGCTCCTTGTGCCTCTTCTGGGAGGCTCAGGTGGTCCTGGTCCCTTTTAGAAACTTGAGTCAAGCTATTCGCAGGGATTACACCTGCTGCCCGCGGGGCTCAGATGCCTGGCAGCCTGAAAAGGAGAGGCCCTGAGCTGCAGGGCGGGGCCAGGGGACTGGCTGGGGGGACAGCAGTGTCTGCCAGGAGCCTGGCCTCAAATAGCCTTCGACCTGAGCTTCCCAGAATAGCTGGCCATGAATCAGTCACCCACAATCCACAGAGAGCCTCTGAAACCTTTTAATTCTTATGCTTGCACCACGGTGGAGAGCAGGGTTCTCACTGTTACTCCTAAGAAACACTGCTCTCTCTCCAAGTGTCCAGGTGTCCTCTCGCCTCTAGGACCTGGGATGGGTTGGAATGTGAAGGGTCACACCAGCCTGTGCAGGTGCCATGGGGAGGTCGATTCTTTGTCACTGTCACCTTCGGTTGGTGCATGTGGGGGACCACATGTCGCCCAAGTCATGTCCGTTTCTGGGCAAAACTAAATGCCCGTTTGGAGTAGAGTTCATCTCAAAGAATTGTCCGGAAAAGGAAAGCGGATTCACACAGCTTCCACCATGACTGTCCCCAAATGAGCTTCTGCAGGAGAGGGGAGCCCGGGCCATTCACCCTGTGTGCAGCCAGGAGGTGAACAGGGAAGGTGTGAGGAATGTCCAGGAGGTTTAGGTGCCAGAGGAGCTGGGTGTGAATGAGCCTGAATAGGCATTAACATGAAACAAGGGAGGCCTTCCTCCAGCTCCCTATGGTTGCCCCTCACCTTTGCTGTGGACACAGCCAAGCCCTGCCGCGTGCCCACAGGTCCTGGGCACTTCACCTCCTCCTCCCACACCCGCTCTTCCGGCAGCACCCAGCTGCTTGTGGTTCAGAGCTGTGGCCCTAGGCTCTGGGATCCGGTCCCATCACTTACCGGCTCTGTAGCCTCAGGCGAAGCCGCAGTTTCCTCACCTGTGACATGGGGGTGATGTTAGTACTTCCTCCTAGTGAGTAAACATGATGTGTGTAAGTGCGTGGCCCAGACTGACACACAATATGTCCTCAGTGCATCTGTCAGCAGGGCTGAGCCTCACATGCTGACCCTGCTCTGCAGAGGAGCCACCACCCATCTCGCCCGTCTGCCTGGAAACTCATTTATCCCTCAAATCCTTCAAATTCTGGCTGGGGTGTGCCT